TCATCTGTCAAGTGGGGCTGCCAACCTCACCAACACAAAGCACCAGAAAGGCCCCTGCAGGCTGTAAAGTGCTGCGCAAGCAGGAAGGGCATTTGGTGAAGGAAGGGCTGTGTGGTTGTGTTAGACTGGGGCTTGCCAAATCTGGCCAGCTGCTTTTATACAGCCTGTGAGCTAAAAATGGCTTTGTATTCTTAAGTGGTTAAAGAAAAAAAATCAAAAGAAGAAGAGTATTTCATGACACGTGAAAATGACATGGAAGGGCCGGCCCGTGGCTCACTCGGGAGAGTGCGGCGCTGGGAGCACCGTGGCCACGGGTTCGGATCCCATATAGGGATGGCCGGTTTGCTCACTGGCTGAGCGTGGTGCTGACAACACCAAGTCAAGGGCTGGGATCCCCTTACTGGTCATCTTTTAAAAAAAAAAAAGAAAACGACATGAAGTTCTCATTTCTGCGTCCACAAATGAAGCTTTACCGGACCACAGTCCCGCCTGCTCGTTTATGTACCATCTGTGGCTGTCGCGCTACAATGGCAGGGTTGAGTCACCAGGGAGCCCAGCAGCCTGCAAAGCTGAAATGTTGACTGTCTGCCCTGTAAGAACGAGAGAGCTGACCCCTGCCCTAGATGCCAAAGCAGACATAGTCCCTGGCCCTGAGCGAGGTGACCCCACCCACCCAGCTTGCTCTCCACCCCGCCTGGCCTTCAGTCTCTCCCCCACCCCCGACTGCAGAGCCCGTGGCCCCACAAGTCACCGACGACCCCTCCTGCCACTCTCGCCTGCACCCGCGGCTCACGGGCACCCACCTCCTGTCAAACTCCTTGTACGCGCTCTGCAGCCAGGCCAGGGACGGCTTGTTCTGGCTGCTCAGCCCGTAGTGGAAGTAGACGATGGTGTAATCGTTCTCCACGTATTGGTCCAGCGTGTACTTCAGATACCTGGGCAGGAAACACAAGATGCGGTCATGACAGTCACCTGCTCATCACTGAGACCAAATGTGCTTTCCTTAACAGCAGCTGTGGTCAGCAAGTGGGTGCTAGCACCGGGTCAGGCGGGGTCACATCCAGGGCCACCTGGAGACTCTACATGCCAGGGGGCCTGGTCCTTGTGTGAGAATCGACCTCTGAGGCTCAGGGGCATTAAATAACTTGCCTAAGGTCACACAGTTGGTAAGCGGATGTGGTAGGCCAGAACACGGCCCCCAGAAAAGACATGCACATCACGTCCCTGGAACCTGAGAACGTGACCTTATTTGGAAAAAAGGTCTTTGCTGATGTGATTAAATTAAGAATATTAAAGAGAAAGAGCTGATCCTGGATTATCCAGGTGGACCTTAAATGCAATCACATAGATCCACGTGTGTGTGTGTGTGTGTGTGTGTACTTTTTTTGGCGGCTGACCAGTATGCGGATCCAAAC